AAATTGATAGAAAAAAAATCATCTAGCCAGAATTGGTAATCAAAGAAACCTCTTTAACACTTTCTGGAGAAGGCTTTAGAAAGTGTGTGTTGCTATTGTCCACTGGCTTTAACACAGCAGTAACAGTTTTGTTTATGTATTTCCTAAGGTTGTATTTCCTTAGCCAGGTATTGTACTGGGAAGTGTCGAAGGGGCTGTGCAGTTCAGGCACAGTGACCTGTGCACGTGGACAGCACATGGGGTGACCTGAGTCCCCAGGAATGTCCTGTATGCCTGCATCTCCCCATGTGTGGTCGCATCACTCTGATACGTCTTCTCTTGCCTGGGACACGGCTGAGCATTTCTAAGGGAAGAGCAAAGGAAAGAAGGAACTGAAAACTGTGGGGAAGGCTTTCTAAAGAAAGTCTGTGAAGCCTACCCAAATGTAGCAACCTGTGGAAAATACAGCAGTAGCAAGGGAAAAAAAGGGGAAGGATTGCTGTGTATGTGTATAAGCATGATTCCCATAAGCAGCTTGATCTGTTTTGGGTGAGCTCTTTGTAATGGCAGTAACACAGAGATGTATGATCTTGCTGTATTCTGGCTCTTTTGTGGTGCTCAGAAAGCCTACAGCTCTTTACCTAATGTAGTGCAGACACTAGAATTAGGCACATCCAAATCTTTATTTTACTTTGTGTTCTCTCATCTTATGATTACAGAACGTTGCAATATTCTTTGTGAGTTGTCTGGAGTCTGAGGGGTGAAACTGTGAATTATTATCAGAATAGGAAGTATCCTGTTAAATCCTTAAAAATGTATGAGGTGTGTGAGAGTAAATTGAGTGGTTATTTTACCTGTGGTTCAGTAACTGGCATGTGTTGCAGTAAATGGCAAAAGTGCAGTAGTTACCACTGGGGATATATTGTTTCACCATGGATTACCAAGGTTCTGTGGCACAAAAGAATTGAAGAGAGTTTAAATATGGTATTGATAAAGTGTATCTCAGAACCTGACTTTTAAGTGATTTTTATTTTTAGCATAACATTTCTTTTTAAGCTCATAGTTACACAATGCTGTCTTAAGAATTCCTTTCCTGTTTCTACAACTGGACTTTTTTCTTTCCCAGTTCTTTCAGAGCATATCCTGATCAGTACAAACTCTGCAGACCCCATTGTCTGTGGCAGCAAGTTGATACTTGCTATCATTCTTTCAGCTGCTTCTTTTTCTTGGAGACTTCCTCTCTGTTTATCTAATATAATGTCCACTCATTTTTCTTGCTCTTTTCTCTGGAGAAGCCTGTAAAGATATTGTAACAGATATATGATAAATTTATTTAAGTAGATAATTTAAAATTAATATCTGGCTTGCTTGGTAAGTGGGACAAGAAAAAAAAAAGTAAGTTTTGATAAATCAGGATGCATCTGGTCAAGTCTTAATGCAACAAAAAAACCATCCACCTGTACTTCTGGGAGCAATGGTCAGCCCTCAGCTCCATCACCAATAAATCTGACTTCAGTTAAATGAATTTCATGTTCCACCACTGTGTTTTATTGTTCCCTTAGGTTAGCTAAAACCATTGCTTTTGCTGCTGCTCCAATCAGTGATGTTGTAGAACTTTATACTTCAGACTGAGCCAAAAGATTGCAGCTAACTATGTGTGATGATGATGAAAAAAGTCAAACTCTTTTTCTGCGTCATTTAATCTCACCTTGAATTATCTGTATGTCACCAGAAACACAGTTCAGACACTGTCTCTTCACTATTCTGCTTATTGATTCCCAAATAGTCTTTCAAATAGGCCATCCTCTGAAAGTCTCTTCAGAATTTTTTTTGAGAAACTCGGACAGCAGCACAGCATGAAAGTCTCTTCAGAATTTTTTAAAAAAGTTGTTAGAAAATAGTGATTGTTTTCAAAGTTTTTTTGCAGAATATGATGGTATTCTTTTAATGGAAAAAACCCCAGCCCACATGGAATTATTCAAGCAAGGGTCTTCAACACTAGTATGTGCTGATATTTATGCTCACCTATATGATACCTAAATAAATGACTAGAATATAATTAGCAATGCTAATCCTTCTTTTTCTTTGTTTAAAATTTTTTTCTAATACTACAATTTCTATCACTTCCCAAAATTTCTCATGCTTTGGAAGAAATGCTTTATTTTTGTGGATTTATGTTTTCCGTCATTGCAGGTAAAGTATCAAACAGCTTTGTTGAGTCAGTTTGACAGAATTCCCTCAGCTTGTGAGAGACTGATTGCTAAAGAGGAGAGCACATTTCCGACCTGCAGCTGTCACTTGTCACAGAGGCAGGAGCTGTGGGTTATCCTCCCCAAAATAAGCCACACGACTTGGAGGTTACAATGAAGCTGACCATCAGTAGGCTTGCTGCCTTGCGCTGACAAGGGATGATTGATTGGAAACGAGAAAGATCTCTTTTGGGGAGAAGGAATCAAGAACAAAAGGTTCCTACCAGCCTCTGCTTCTCTTGGGAAGAAGAAGGGGACTCTCAGGGTGTCTGACCCTGCCAGGGACCAGGCAAGAGCTACCAGCCTCTGTTGCTGCAGGGCAGGCTTGCTGCTGGCTGATCAGTGGCCAGTGTTGGCTGAAGGTACTCCTCCTGCTAAGTTAAAAAAACTCAAGATGTGCTTTTCAACTCAAGTTCAAGCTTTAGTTTTCAACCTGTAAAAATAATTTGCTGCTGGTGTGAGGAGATGAGACTCTGTTGGCTTTGACACACTGGCCTACCGTTCATGCTGGTGGTGAATTAGACAAAATGTATTCATTCCAGCTTGATCGCAGAACCTTTGATTAAATTATGTTTTTCTCTATTTTCTCACAAAGGGCCACATCTGCTCATGTGGAAATAGCCTGTAACAACATTGAAACATAAATTATTTGATGAAATACTTAGGACTATTCACTTAATGCATGATAATCCTGTGAACATGTTAATGAGCAGCAATTCTCTGATGATTGAACTGCTTGAAAATGTCTTTCTACTTATATGTCATTAGAATGAACTTGGCCCTTCTAAAACATCCATTATTCATCGTGTTCCACTGTTGCATCTGACTGCATATCACTTTAATTTCCCTCATTTAGCAGAACAATCTATTCATTACAATAGTTTGAAGCATGTTTTCCAAATCAGAAAAACCCTACTTAATGTATAGTGTTAGTTGTCTTTACAAGTACAGAACAGCAATGTGTAACATCCCAAATTGTAATTACATGCTTAGTGCATTGGAATATGCTAACTAAAACTAAATGGAAGTTTTAAGAAGAACCTTTGTTGAAATCAATGATTTTGTTAGCTGGAGAAGCAGGATTGGTAAAACAACTTGCTGAAAGCACAAGGTTGACTTTTCTTTCTGAAGTAGTTGAGCAAAAATTTTCTCAGTAGCCCCTTTTTACACAAGCATTTCTTGTCCTGACAAGTCAAGAAGTAGAGAATTATGGAGTAATACTAGTGCAAGTATGAATACAAATATATATATATATATATAATGCAAATATAAATATATATTTGTATTGGATTTTCCTGCTTTTCCCATGTATTTTTTCATTTTACAAGTCCTGGGTCCTTTCACACATTGTGAACCTCATTAAATCTTATGTTAGATTTACTCCTTTTTGTATCTATTTGTCATGGCTGCTGCAGAAGTGGTTCTTCCCAACAAGCTCAAGAGATCTATCCCAGGAAATGCTGGACTGCTGCATGACTCCATGTTTGAAGATTGTTTAATCATGTCAGGCATAAGCTCCATTTCCTTTAATGGAAAGACAGCTTTTGAAAGAGGAGATAGATAGACTATCAGCTAAATAGACCACTTGAAAAGTATCAGCAGAAATGCATTTGTTTTTCAGTGTAGCTAAATGAATTCCCCATTGAGCTAGTAAAATTCTGGCAAATAACAGGGGAGATGGGTAATAACCTTCATTCAAGGCAGAAATCTTTATTTTCTGAGGGCCTGAGTCTTGTAAAATGTTTACAAATATATGGTGACTAAACTTTAATCTTTTTATTTGGAAAACCACCTCACTACTTTTAATTTTGCTTTTAAGATACTTTTTGGCCTTGCTAGGAAAATAGTTACTTATGCTGGGCTTATTTCTCACAGTTTTTTTATCAAACACGTTTTTAACACATTTTATTTCAGTCGGTTGCCATAATAAGATGTTTGGGCAGATGTGGGAAGTTTATGAATGCTTTCCTAGTAAGCAATAGAGTTAGGGATCCCTGTTGGTTGTATTCATGCTTTCAGCAGTTCTTGGTACAATAGAAGTTAATATGTTATTGATTAGCATACAGATGTGTTAAAATGTGAATAAAATATGTATTAAAGAGATGAAATAATTATGTGGTAAGAGGAAAATACTGAATAAGGTGGACTTCAAAATAAAAATAAGGTGGACTTCAAAATTAGTAGCATTGATCTCTCTGTGTTGGACTAAGAATGTTGATGGAATCAGAATAAACTAAGAAACTTGACTGTGGGCTTACTTATTAAAATTTCTGCCTCTTCTGTGAATCCCAATCTTTCTTTGTTCATAGCCTGATAAATAAGAGTTAGTTTGCAATGAGTTAAGAATTAGTTACAGTGAATTTCTAGTGAATAATTTCAAAATTGTATTAGCTTTTTTTCATCATTCAAGATGCCTTAAAAATAGCAGCTTATGGGATATCTATTTAGTGTCTCATCTATGTTAGTACCAAAATCGAGTTAGTGGCGTCTTAAACTTTTGTAAACCTTTTAATGATTAAACTTCTAATGGTATGTTAAACTTTTCCTTCCAAGTAATCACGATAGCATTTGTGGATATATTGCTATAGCTTTGGCTACATTTATGTGTAAATCAACCTTTAAAAAGCCTTATGTTCTTTATGGAAATAATTCTGAACTGTTTTGTATGGAGGAATTGTTATTAACTGTGAAAATAGTCTACAAATTCTACAAAATTTTAGATAAGGGCTGTTTTAAAATATTAAATGATGTGTATGTATTTTTTTAATGCAGCTCCTGTTCTCCCTGGGGCATATCAACAAAGCCAGACTCAAGGATATGGATACATGCACCAGACCAGTATGTCATCCATGAGGTCCATGCATTCACAGCCTCATTCAGCAAGTCTGGTGAGTATTGAATTTAAAGGATAATTTTGTTTGATAAGCACCATCATCAGCTATTGCATAGTCTCTTAAATATGACCGAATTTAACCCCTAGTGTTCTGTAGTTGATCTATTTGGCTGTCTTGATCATAAGTGTAACTGGTAGTCCTCAAGTATAAAAAAGATTTAAGTGACTAAATTTTTAAGGGCAGTGGTAAGAACTTCTGTATGAGAATACATTTAAAAAAGATATGATATTCATAGAGCAGAGAAATAACTGAATTCTCTACCTACTTACCTACTTAAAACAAATAGTAGATGCTTGGACAGTGTTTCAGAGGCTGAATTTTGATGTTATGCTCTGTGATGAATTCATGCTCCTAGCACTGGATGAAAACCAATGATCTCTTAAGATCACCCTGTTGGTTTAAATCAGTTTAACTTTTTTTGACTTGCTGATTTTTTGCTAGCAGGCTTTCTGCCTACCTGTATTACTTCTACTTGTGTAGAGTTAGCTCAGACTCCAGATTGCTGTGCCCTTTCTAGTTGCACACAGCAGTCGTGCATCGACTCGTGTAAGATCCAAATTGAGTTACACTGGTCGGCAGTCAAGAAGCAGCTTTATCATGAAACCGTGGCTGTCTCATGAAGTTCTCAGCTGTGGTGGATGGGAATGTAAAGCTGGAGTGAATATTTCATTTTCCAAGTAACTGGTCATGGTGGGAGAGCTGAATGGTATTAGCTGGGATTTTTAGGAAATGAAGCTTCTTTTTTTTAACTCCCTATATAAAATTTTCAGTTTTAATGGTTATCATATTTTTAAAATCATATTGCTGCCTAGAGATTTCCTAGCTGCCTAGAGACCCAGCCACCTTTTACCTTAAAATATTTTCATTTTAAATTTTAAACTGTTTTGAATACCTCTGTCCCCTTTTTCAGAGATGAATAAATATTTAATTCTGAACCAAACTTAGAGCTTGCTGAGCTAAAAAAACCCTGTTTTCAAGATTAGATGAAACTTGTATTTTTTGGTAAAACTGAAACTCCATGACATTTTATATTGTAAAGGTCATGACTTTGTGTGGCATGAGTAGTTTCAGGCTTGTCAGATGCTCAGCTGTCTTGGGCTGAGGGGGCTAACTTGCTGGAAAGTCTGGGATCCAGATACTTCCATCATTGAGTGAGTCAATAACCTGAGAAACTCTTTGGCCACCTGCATGACAGCTGTGAGACAGCTGACAGTGGAATCAACCATTAATTTCCAAGGATCTTACAAGGCACTTTGGGAGCTGGTTGCTTTCCAAAAGGGACAAAATCCAAAAAGTAGGAGACCTGGAAGCCTGGGCTTTGACAGCAGATGTGCTAGTCATTGGGGAGCAAAGCAAACAGCCCTCAAATGCAGCAGAGAGAAAATGGAGATGCCTGTGAATCTCAGAGTGCACTTACCAGCCTTTGCAGCTTTGTGGGCAGAGAGATGACTCCTATTTCCTAATACCTCTGTGTCCCCGTGACTTACCTGACAGGCTGTTGAAATTGTGTCGTTTCAATGTTCTCAGTATCTTGAGAATCATCATTTGCTTCTTCTTCCAGAATTTGGAATGAGAAGGTAATAGGAAAAAGAAGGGAGTGATTTTAAAGATTATAAATTTAAACAGATTTCTTTTCCCTGTTGTGAAACTCTTTTTCACTTGACATCCTTGTAAGTGATAATATTTTGTCATGGGAAAAAAATGGAAACAGCAAACACCATCATTTAAACTCATTTTGCTGATGTTGAAAACTGAGTGGATTTCCCTTTAGAAAAAAAATTCCAAGTATTTCCAGAGAGAGTAAATCAAAGACTTGCTGGCATGGTGCTGACTGCTAACTTGCCAGTCTGGTGAGGAAGACACAGCGTGATCTTACCACCCTGGGGTGATGATTCTGCTCCAAAAGAAGCATCTCAGATGCAGTTAGAAATCTGCCAGGCTCCCTTGTCTTCCATCTTAAGACCAGAATATTTTCATTAGGCTGTGCAGTTCATCCAGGTGTTGCAGCATTGCAGATGTTGCACTCAGCTATTGGGACAACACAGAATGGTCTCTCAGTGTGCCTGGGGGAAGGCCCTGGCTGGGCATGTGTTTAAATGTAGCAGAATGAAGGTTGATGACTGTCTTGGAGTGCTTTTAAAATGAGGTGTGGACGTGCTGTAGGAGATCTGACAAACCTACACAATGTTAAGGTGTGTTGCTTTCAGCTGCCTGCTCAGTTCTGGGCTTGGAGCAGTACTGCCAGAGACACAGTGTTGTCTGGCTAATGACAGAGGGAGGAAAGACGAGAAGAAAGTGCCAGGGGAAGGGGACTGGAGGAAAGGAGTCCTAGAATTGTGACCTCAAAGCCTGAGCAGTTTTTGAAGCTTAGCTAAAAGCAGTGAGGGTGATAAATTCATCAGTGCTTGAGTTTTGCCGGGACATCTCTAGGGCAGAAGTGATTAAGATCCCATGGGTTATATCAGGGCAGAGATGATTGCAGAGTTAGCTGCTCTAGCACATTTACTCCTTTCAGCTCAGTTGTTATATTATAATCAAATCTGTCCCCAAAATGCATAAGCCCATTTTATAATCATGTTCACTGGTCTCTTATATTAAGAAACAGAATTTTTCTAATTTCTAAATTTTCAAAATCTGGTTTATTTAATTTTGAGCTCTGTTTTGTATTAGGCATGTCCTATTACAATCTTTGGATAAGGTTTTTTTCCTAAATAAATTGCATTATTTTCTGATTCTTAACTTGTCCTTGCTTTCTGTGAGCAGTTCTGCATTATGGGGTGAATTAAATTGTTACTCAGGGTACAAAGTGTTTTATAACAGAAAGCTCTGGAGGCTTATTTTCCTATTTGGAAAATAATGGGGTGTTCACACACTGTTTGATATCTAAGAGTGGTAGGAAAACAAAACCTGTGCTTCGAGTTGGCTGTCCTTGATGGCTGCTGTGTGTGAAGGATGCTGCAACAGTTGCTGCTCTTTGCAAAGAGCCATCCATGGAACAGGTAAGTGTTGGGGTGAAGTGGAAATACACACCTGTCAGCCCAGAACAGGCTGGGCAGCTGAGAATATATTAGCTTGATTTTGGTTCTTCGTGTGGACAAGACTTACTGGTCTGTCTAAGCAGAGGGTGTGAGACAGACCTTTGAGGAGGTGGAAGATAAGTGAGTTTTGACTCTTTTACAGAACTCCAAATTTACACCCTCTTGTAACTTAGTACCCACTAAACTCACTACTGATTGAGGAATACTGAGGAACAATTCACTGAAATGCATTTTAAAATCCCTGCTTTGAGTCCTTTAGGCATTGTAATTCTGGATTATATAGCCCATACTACACTCTGCAGTGATAATTAGGCATTAAATGCTAACAGGATTATTATGGAGATTTCTCCTGACAGCCATTTAGCACCTAATTAGGTGTTAAGGCCATAAATTTAGGTTTCTCAGCAGCATTTAGGGCCCTAATAAATTCTTTTAAAGTTTGGAATTGCGGGCTTGTCTTCACAATTGTGCACCACAGTGATGTAGTCAAGCTGCCTTTTAGGAGGCAGCGGTGGTATGTCCTTTGCCATGGTGCTCTAAAGAAGAGTGAGCATCCTTTTGAGTGAGCAAAACCTCTCTATTTTTCCAATTTTATGTTAGTTTAATAAAACATTTAATCTCTTCACCAGTCTTTTCCCGTTTAAAGGATACCTATAACCATGGCTCTAGGCAAAATCCATTTACTGCCTTATACCAGATATAGACTTGCTACCATTTTTCTTAAATGGACCCTCTTCTGAAATAAATTATTTAAAGGGCTAACTGCTGCTGAATTTGTTGTAATAGCATATTTTTCACTGCTTTTTTGGAGTTAGTTTCAAGGCTCAGCAGTGAGATCAGTTGAGATAGTTGGAAAAAATAAGATTCTGAAAGGCAGAGAGCCTTTTGATGGCTAGTTGTCTACTTCATGAATGTTTAAGGATTTTTGGTGATGATAGAACCCAAGAAATTATTTACTGTTATGTAGTGCATAAAAAATGATCCTTTTTTTAACCTGAGTTCCATGCACACTCGGAAGATATTAAGGAACCGCTAGGGAAGCACATACCTCTGTTTGAAAACTGCTCTTGGTCACAGGCTGTAGGTCAGCAAAACAAACCATGGCAGAGGACAATAATGTAGCACAGGACTCAAATGCAGTTCAGGGTGGACTTCTCAGGAAAGGTGGTCTCCAATGGTCTCCAGTGTTTAAACAGGAGCTGATTTCTCTGCCCTGTTTAATTTGCACTACCAATGGTAGAGCCAAGACTAAAAGTATATTCCTGGCAGGGGAGCAGTAATGATCAATTGCCCTATAGAGTTTGGATTAAATCATTCCACATTTCCAGCATGTGACAAATGGCTTCCTCACTCCATGTGGAGCAATCTCCACCTTTTTAAAAAGTAGTTTCATTAAAAACACTCAAGCCCCCATATATATATATATATATATATGAGCTAAAACTAATTCAGAGCTGTTTTCTTGAGCAGAGAAGTTTGCTGTCTTTTAAAAGGCTCAGACAATAGTACTAGGTATGAACTCACATTGACTGTTTTGCCTTTTTTCTCTCTAAATTATTGTACCAGAAAAATTCAGCTACATATGGTAACGTAGCAAAAATTACCGGGAGGGAAATTGGATATTATCAGTGATGCTTGAACTGCTTTTGACTTCTGTTAAGAGCCAGGGTAAGGAAAAGAAAGTACTCTTGGGAATTTTAAAATGAGCTAGATTTATTCTTCTCTTAAGATACAAGGGGACCTTGGTCTTCCTGAGTTTGAAAATCCACTTTGAATTCCAGTAAATGATGGCATTTTATTGGTTATTAGTGAAAACAAATACTCTATTTAGAAAAATAGAGTAAAACGCTGAAAGCTTGTCTTACTGTCCCACTGGGCAGGGTTGTGGAGAAATTTCTCTTAGCTGATGATGGGAATTTATGTGCAAAATTTTGTCTGAATATGAAAACACAAGTATTCGTAAAAATTGTTTTTATAGGATTTAAAAAATCTTGTCTATCCTTTAGGTAATAATGCATTCATAATTCTTAATTTGGGTAAAATCCTAATGAAATGAAGGACATTCATTGAAATGGAAAAGTTAATGGCCTGGATGAAGACTATGTTTCTTCTTGTAGTGAAGGCACAGGAGAAGCTATTTGTGAATCATGCAAATAGGGAGCAGAAGCAGAGCTAGCCTGGCTAGACGTAATGAACTGTTACTAGTGAATTAATGAAACAACAGTTAGAATATTCCAATATTGCTTTGAAATCTGTTTGTTTGAAGCCATAGGACTATGTGAGTTAACAAAATAATTATTTTGCTACTCAGAACAAGGGCCTGTATTCACTGTATATTTGACAGGGTGTAGAAGGGGATACTGTTCCTTTTTGACAGGTAACTTGAGATTTCTCTCTCTTTGCTCCCTCTATTCTTTTTTTCCTTCTCTTTTCTTCTTTGTGCAAAGAAAAGGAATAAAGGAATCTGAAGTTTAGACTTGAGACTTAACAGTCTTGTTTTCTTTCCTTCAACAGAGAACATACAGAGCTATGTATGACTACAGCGCTCAAGATGAAGATGAAGTTTCCTTCAGGGATGGTGATTATATCATCAATGTGCAACCAATTGATGATGGCTGGATGTATGGTACTGTTCAGAGAACTGGGAAAACAGGAATGCTTCCAGCAAATTATATTGAGTTTGTTAACTAATTTTTGTCTCTTGTCCTTGGAGCTTTATTATGATTTACTTAAAATCTAACCTTTTAGAAAAAAATCACAATAATCTTTTAAGAGTTCATGATCATTACTTTATCACTGCTATAACAGTTTGCATTTTCACTCAGAATCCATTTTAGAGTCCTTTAAAGAGAAAATAAATAATCCACAAGAAGCTCAGAGCTTTGAAAACAGCATTGCTTATAATAGTGCTCTTTCAAAATGAAAAACATACATGGAAGCCTGGTGCTGCCAGTCCTATAAAAACTTTGGTCAATTAACTGTAAAGGCGTAATGCCTTTTCCTTACACCTCAAAGATCATAAAATTGATTCACTTCTTATGGCACTCTGAAGTCACAGGAGGTTAACACACAGAGTTTGAACACATCTTCAAATTATTAGGGAAATGTTTAATGTTTAAGCAGTTAGCTTCCTAATAAAAATTAATATGTTGAGTAGATAATTCAGTCATTTGACATAAAGAAAAGTAACATGCCAGTAAAAAAAACACCAACCCAGTAAAACCCCCTACTACCCAGCAGCCTTACAGTAAATGTCTATTTTGGCAGAAAAAATTTCCTTACTCTTGCATATCCACATTTATTATTGGATTACACATTTTTTCTTATTTCCAAGCGATCTATTAGCTTTGCTTCCATCCTAATCCATCAGTTAGATCCAGGTCTGGATTCATGGTTCTTCAGTATCTTTTCTGCAGAAGATCCCTTGCTAAGACTTATCTAAAATACAAAACCTGTCAGCTCTTCTGTTTCCTTGTAATAATATTTAACATTCAAATAGAAACTTCCATTAGGGCAACGTACAACCAGTACTTCATGTTAGCTCCTTCACCTGTAGTGCTGTAAATACAGAGCCCACGTGCGGCCGCGGTGCTGTGCAGTCCCCCAGAGCCTGCAGTCACATCCCGTTCTCACCACAGGTAACTCGCTTAATGGCTGCTTTGCTGATGAGCTGATGTCCCTCCCCTGCTGCAGAAACACTTGTGGCTCCATCGAGCAGTGGAGGAGAGCTCTGGTTCTTGTAGTGCATTTCAGATCAATGGCCTGTTGCTTCAGTTTGCTCCCAAATCCTTGGTGATCCAACAGTGGGTTGTACGCTTGCCAAATGATTAATGATGGAGAAGAATTATGTTTCCTTTTAGTGACTTAATCTTTCCATAACTGACATCGAAGGGAAAGCTAACTAAGCAAAATCCAACATGCCCTATGCCATTATGTTTCAGTTTAGCCGTCTGTGGAAAACAGTAAAAATATTCTGCTGACAAACCTTCACATGTGCTATTTGGTGTGTCTTCACTTACAGCCAGAATTGAGAGATCCAGGTCTGAGTCTGTGAAGCTGGGAGAGGATCTAACAGCTCGTGACACAGTGGATCAGTATGAGGGATTTTGTCAGCAGGCTTCAGTCATATGCAACTTCTTTTTGCTTTGACTGTATTCCCTCACAGGGAGAAATTGTGGAAGGAAGGACAAAAGAGTTAAAGATTCATGGGAGAAATTATTTATGCGGATGCAGAAATGTTTAAGGAAGAAAATGTTTTTGTGATAAAATAATTTGTGGAGTTCAGCCATGTGCTAAGGAAATTAACTTTGCAGTAGCCCTCAGAATTTTGAGCCTGCACTGGCTTTCTTTCATTCCTAAAATTTGTAAAGTAGAATTACATATAGAACTTTTAGACAGTTTTGTACTTCTCATCTCACATATCAGGAAACCCTGAAATGACTATTTAAAAATTAAATAAGGAAGGCAGTATGGATTTCTTATGTCAACTGAAAGTTGTCAGTGCAAATCCCTGTAAGTTCTATTTTTGCATACAGTTTTTACATACAATTTCCAAAGAATTAGTAAGCTTATGCAATTTTATTTTGGGTCTTGCTAACACAGGGATGATACCGGCTGCCAAGCAGAATGGAGTAACTGCGTTAAAAAAGAAATTTAAAAATGTCCGTGACTGTGGAATTACCTGTGCTTTATTGTCAGCAGCCTAATTTCAAGGCTAAAGCTGCCCAGGAGTATCCACCTTCAAAAATTTGTTTTAAAAATAGAATTCCATGACTGTGAATATGCAATTTGTATAGTTGATTGCTGTGATTTAAAATTCTTGCAAGTTTTGCATAAGGAGCTGCTCTTGCAGCAGACCCTTGTGCATTACTGGTGACACCCACATGAAATCAGCAAGTCACATGGTGTTTTTAAAGCTGATGTGCTATGCTGAGCCAGAAGCTCTAAAACAAGCAGTTTGCTTCTGTGTTGGTTTTCATCACTGGCCATCAACAATGAAGAGAGGAATTCCATCTTCTGCTGGCTGGCAAATTTTTCAGATGATGCCTGAGGCACAGCTGGCTGTCACTTGCTGCTGTGCTGCTCTATTGGCAGTGCAATGCTGACAACACTAAAAACAAGGTGTCAGTTTGCTAACCAAATGTGAATAAAAAAGAAATACAGAGAATATCTGTATGGCATCAAGTTGCAATTTTTGGTGACTTACAAAACAGAGAGTCTCCACCTATAAATACACAGTCATTTTTCCTAAATGAGGAGACAGCTTACAGTGTTGAATACTTTATGTGTAGGAGTAAATCAGAAAATGAGCATTTGGTGACATTAGAGAACTATGTTGTGCTGAACAATAGAAATAAAATTTCCTTTTGAATTTTGAATATTCATTAGCCTGGCAGAGCAGCTGAAGCAATTTGCAAAAAACAAAAGGTCAAGAAAACAAAACAGTATGTGAATTGTATTTCTCTTGAGAATGGTATGTCAGCAGAATTATTAAGATCTGGTTTAAGTTACTTATTCTTGTAGTCAACATTTTTATCATATATGCTTAGAAATTCATATTTATATGAAATGGTTCCTGCTTTTTTGATATAAACTGAACTTTAGTGTGGTTTTGCAGCTTTGGTCTAAGCAATGCAATCAAAAGCCCAAAATTATCAGAATGCAATCATAATTTTTTTTTTTTTAATAAGAACTAAAATTTTTAAGGCAGGGAGAGTAAGTCATGAACTAAATTGTGCCAGCACACGTTTTTCAAAGCATATGTTGGAGACTGTTAGATGCAGTGTGATATAGGGGTGAAAAGATATGCTACATGCTGTCTTGTCACCTTTAAAGTTTATAGTCATTTTTAGTACAGCATGATCCCCTCACTGTTCTTTCTTCCCGTAGTCAACATTTTTGTGGAGAAAGGAAAGGGCTTTTAAGGACTTGAATTTCTCAAGCTGTTCCAAAGTTTAGGTTGGAAGTATACATGTTCCCATTTTAGAAATAAAAAATTCTATAAAGAATGCTGTAATTCTTGCTAACATGAGTATAAATGTAGAAAACAACATAGAGCATATTCATGCATACATACAAGAACAAATGGGTGCCTTGCTTTTCATTACTCTTTCTTGCCTGGCTATCTTCATTTTTTAAACAAAGCTACGTACAGGTACTGCAGTTGTAATTTTTCATTATGGAACATTAGCATTTAGTCTTGATGAAACAGGGTTTTCTTGATTACATTTGACATACAATAAACTACTTCAGCAGACTGGGATTTGACAGAGAATCACCTCCCATGGATTATGTTTTTGACAAATGTGTCCCTGCCGAGTGTTTCTTGGGGATGTGGAAGGTCTCCAATACCTGGGAAAGGTTATAATTCTAGTTTTTATTGTACAGTGACTGCATGTCATCTTGTACGATGAAAAAGAAATTACAAATACAGAGGTCTTTGGCAGAAGGTGGTACAGGGTATAAAAATATAGATTTTTATTAAGTTAATTAATACTCCATTTAAAATATAGAATATACTTTAGTTAGTAAATGTTTAAATAATATACTGAAACAGACAGAAGATGCTGTTGAAAGGAGTCCTCCAAACTGATGTGCTGGCAAATGCAAAGTACTAGTGAGCTGTAGAAGATTAAACCATTTTGCAATGCTTTAGTGATTTTCTCCAGCTTTATGCCATAGGAATCCCATCTCTCCTTTGGAAAGAAAACCTGAAAGCTCTATTTCCTAAACTGCCTGCACTACAACAGTATATTCAAAGGAATTTCATATGCTTCTTGTGTCTGATAAATAGAATTTGCATATTGTACTTCAGTTGTAATCCAGTTGTTGTTGACATTTGTTTAATTATTATTATTTTAGGGGGGAAAATAAGCTATACTGTAGCATTTCAATTGTGTATTTAATAGTACTATTAGAAATTGCTAGACCATTGGAAGACAGCAATGACTGTATTGACATTGATTAGCATGATGTGGAAAATCTCTCAGCTGTTGGTTTTTGCAGTGTGATATAAAAAGCAAAAATGAACCGCTGTGCAGTTTGGCTTATGTTTGCTTTAAAGTGTGTAAAGTTTTAGTTATTTTGCAAAACTGTACTGTATTTGAGGGTATACAGTTATGAAGGTAACAATTGTTTCTCAAAGGAAAGATAAACTTACTCTTGGATCATATGATGTATCATCTTAATTTGGCTTTTGTTATGCAGAAAGTTAACACCAGCTATTAAAATATATTTTAGTAGAAATGCTTTAATTCCTGTTTCTTCCTCTACACTGTGAATATTTAAGCTTTGGTGGACTAGAGCAACATCATGCTGCCCAAAGTACTAACCTATGCAACCTAGTTCACATTTTAGTTGATGTCACAGTGGATGTAACATAACAATTTATTTTGCATAACATTAAACTTCATTCAAATAAAATATTAAACCCAGCACTATGTATGTATTATATTCATAAACAACACTCTGTAAAGCTACCCATTAGTATAAGCTCTCAAAGACAGATATTGCTTTAACTAAGGAAGCTTTGAATTTTCAGTCTTAAGTAGAATATTTAGCATTATTTGTCAAGCTTGACCCCAGTAAACTGTTTCCTAAACAACTGTTTTATTTCAGACATGCCCTCTCCTTAAAAGGTTTGCCTTTTTCAGTGTGCATTTGTAACGCTTCAACAGAACACCAAGTTACATTCCATGACCCTTGATTTGTTTAAATAAGCAAATAGAGTAAGTGAAGGAAATCCACTGTTTTAATTGATACTGGTTTGCTTGTCTTTGAATGGGAATTTGGTTAGGTGTGCTCTCAGTGCAGCACTAATAAAAAAGATTGCATTGCTGGCTTCTTTAAGACAATTTTATATTCAAATGTCATCTTTATTCATTTATACAAGTAAATTATTTTTAAATCATTGTAAGAAAGTTTAAGTTAAAATAAATTCCAGAAGTATTTTGGAACTGCTCTGCCTGTAGTTGAAGAAGATTATTATGCTGAAGGACATGATTTATTTATTTGAGTGTTAAATGTATGCTGCAGTGGACTGCATTAGAATTTTTATATTCTTGTCAAGTGTTGGTTTGAAGAAGGCTGTGAACAATGTGTGAGGACAAATGGCAGCCTCAAATGGAGCTGATTAGTTCCTCCTAGGTAAGTGACATGCAGTTGCTACCACACTAATTTCTACTTAAGAAATGTGTTAGCATTTCATATGAAATTTAATTTGTTACAGAGTTGTGATTCCATGTTCTGTAGTGCTTTTATATATTGAAGTGCTGCCAGTATAGAAATATCCAATCTTTATATATACTGTAGCAAACAGCAGTTTCCAATAAGATAAAGATTTAAGAGCTGCCAAAATAGACCTTAAGCACTCAGAATGTGTTTTATTTGAAAAACCCTCCATCATTTGCTAGTGGTACTGAAGTACTTTCCTGTTTTAGTGGTCCCATAGAATATAATTATCAAAAGTATCTGTGTACTGGCACATGAAATTTTGTGGAAACCCTCCATACTGTGCATTGGACAACTGAGGAGTTTCTAGCTGTCAGTGCTTTTAGGTTGCCCTGATTTTTGCTCTGTCTCAGAACTGGGCTCTTGATTTTCTCTGGTGTGTTAATTAGCAAGAATAAGCTAATGTACTTAGAGTTCTCTGTACTGAGGGAATAGCTGCCCAGTGCGTGAGGATTACCTTCTCTCCCTTCTTCCACTCACACCACCAAGCCCAACCATGTTTCCAATACTGTCTTGCTGTGACTACTTCTCTCATCTTTCCATGAAGCTACCTGTGGGACACATTAAAATGATATCACCAAATGAGTCAGACTTTTTTTTTCTTCCAAATTATTTATTTTATCATCATTCTTTTGGTGATTCTGTTAATTGCACAGCCTTGAAAACAGTAATATTGGCATAAGGAAAGAAGTGGCATGAAATGGGTGGAAGACATGGCTGAAGTGAAGTCATAGATTTTTTACTCGGATTTTGCTGCAGGGGTTAATACAAATCAACCATGTGACTGAGGGCGCCATCTGAACAACTAACCTGCGAGTGAGCAGTGGCCTGTGGATGTGCTTGGCCTGTGTGTGTATGTCTGTGCTGTAGTGTCAGAAGTACTTGAGGGGAGTGTGCAGATACATCCTCCAGTTTTTGTGCAATTAGTTGGAATCCCAAGAGCAGCCCACCAACTGGCATATGGCATTCATAAAGACAAATTTATCCTTTGAGAAAATGAGACCTCTGTACAGAGAGAACAAAATGTCAGTGGGTTTGAACTACATATTTTTGTGCCCACCAGTAAGGAAATCCTTTGTGCGCAGTCAGAAGACTAATTTTGTGCGCAGTCAGAAGACTAAGCCCCATGGCACTGCAGCAAGCTCCTGACTCTGAACTGTGTTTAGTACCCCAATGAGATGATGTGCCACAGAGCTCACCTGCCCCACAGGTTTCATACTGCATGAGATGCTACTTGCTCGGCGTTGTGCTTAACAATGACAGCAGAAACTGGAGATTCCTATTTATGCTTTACATCCTGAAAAGATCCTAAGGCCTTGATTTTATGTATTTTAGCTTTGGTTTTCTTTCTCACTTGCCTGCTGTTGATAAAGCGTACATATAGAGAGGTCTATTTTCATGCTGGCTTGTGGCTTTGACCGCTTGTGTCAAAGAGAGATCTGCAGGTATTAACATCTATATCCTAAAATACTGTTGCTTGATGCGTAAATATTAATTTTCAATGTTTTCACAAACAACTGTCAGCTTTTGTGATCTTTGATTCAAGCTGTAATTTTTCTGTAGTTTTCCTCCTCCTCCTCCATCTTCTCTTGACATGCTTACAGCCTGTGTTCCTTATATAGCAGCTTTTCCAGGACCCAAAGGAGATATTTTCAAGAGGATTCTCAAGGCATTGAGAAGACCTTAAATTGCTTGGAAAATGCTGGTGTTATCTCTACTAAATTCTCCCTCCCCCAGCAGTTGCACACTGGCTTCGCTGTCCTTCTTTACCTTTTGCCTCCTCTTCCTTCAGTCAAGCTCTGACATCTCTCTCATCGAATCAGATGGGCTTGGAGCCCCTCCAGGCAGGTCTTCAGACCGCTCTGTGGCCTCCACAGTTCCTGCATTCAGCTTTGGAACTTCAGTGTGGTTCCCCTACCTGTTCTCCTGTCAAGACCTTTGAGTAGAACTCAAAGAATATTAACATGTGTCCATTAATCCCAAGCAATGTTGCATTTCTGTTGGCTCAGCAGTTAAGTTTTCTCTGAAGAGTCCTCTTGACTGTGTGTTTTTCCCAGATTTCCTTGCCTGTGGGTACATGTGGCTGCTTCTTAAATAAGCTGCTGATTTCAGAAAAGAGGGAGATTGCATTTTTTGCTGTGTCATCAATACCTAAATCAGTTCTTCATTCTCTTCTTCAAAGAATTAGCATGTTTTTTATGTTACCCCTGATTCTGGGTTGAACTTTTGATTCAGAAGTCATTCTGCCTCCCTCAGTGTTAGAGTGAAGGGCTCATACCATGTCAGTGCAGTCTGTTGCTCACTGTGGAAGCTGTGTTGGATAGGCACTATCCTGCTCACCAGAACCTTTCAGTTCCTAGGACTGCTTGTTTTGTATTCATCAGATGGGATCTCTGTGTGATGTGACTATCTGTACCAAACCCCAGCCTTTCTAGAAATAAATATGTCATTAT